AATTTGTCATCAAATTCATACCACTTGAAGATTCTTTATCATCATGATTTCACAACACAGACCAAAATCTCTTATTCTCAACATTTTTTAACTTTCCCTATATAAAAGTGAGACATCACAACTACTAATAATACTACTTGAGTTTACATTTTTCGTAATACTTTTTCATGCTTGAGCAACATTCAATCACAATTATCATACTATCATTTATATCTATCAACAATTAAACATTACATTTACAAGGAAATTTAACTTCCCTTGCTTTAAGACAATCACAATAGTCATACTACCATTTATATTTATCAACAATAAAACATTACATTTACAAGGAAGTTTAACTTTTCTTGCTTTAAGATAGATTCCTAATATTGTTCTTTTATTACATAGTTCCAAAGCATAAAATAGCTCTATCTACATACAGAAGAGTATGATCAACTATCAAAGCATGATTTTATGATCACTAACAAATAAAAATCTGCCTAAAATCTAGAAAATTCACATACAACTAAAAAAGTTCACGTACAAGAAGAAAAATCAATTATTTCAAAGATAAAAAGTAGAAATTTAAACTTACTTTATTTTAAAATTTAATCGATCTAAAATGATTCTAAATACTTCAACGTGTTATCAATTTTTGAAATGGATGAAAATGGATGAAAGTGGTGAAAGAAATTCAAAAATAGAAGATTGGGGAATGAGTTTTGGTTCAAAATGTGACTTGAGTGAGAGTAGTAAAAAAGATTAATCCTATTTTTATTTCGTATCTCCTTTAAAATTATAAAGTTATTTTATTATATTATTAGTTTCTCTTTCATCTTGGATTAGACACGTACCATACAATTTTATTATGATTAATTGTAGGCTTAATATCAATTTTGGTCCTTAATTTTGTTAGTTGTGTTCAAAGTGGTCATCCTATTTTTGAGTTGTTCAAAGTGGTCTCATGTTTTGTAAAAATGGTTCAAGTTGATCTTTTTTGCTAACAACGTTAAAACGCCAATGGTGTAATGTCCACCTTAGCCAATAGTGAAAGACCACAAGTTGACACATCATTGCAAGCTACCACATCACCACATTTTTCCACGTTATCGCCCTCTTCCACCAGAAACCCTAATTCCCCTTGCCTTCCCCTTCCACTATCACCTACCATCTTCGTCGGCCATCACCTTTGCTGTCGTCATTTTTGCACCACCAACGTCCAACCTTGCACAAGTAACCTCGTGCCATTGCCTCCATGGTAGGGACTCAACTTCTTCACCCATTAACCACAGTCTTTGTAGACTTTCAAACCACCACGAGTCTCGCCGTGAACTGTTTCCACCACCAATCTTCTCGCGCAACATGGAAAACCTAGAAACCATCATCATTCCCTTCATCGTGAGCTCCACCGTTAAACATCCATGGCCGCGACTTGCAAACCAGAAACACAGTGTCGCCCAAAACACAACCGTAGACCACCTTCGTCCAAGTCATGAAATCCCTTCTCATGCTCCTTGGTCAAACCAAACCTCTACATCAAATCCCTAAAACCACAAAGAAACAGAAATTCCCAATTCGTTCTGAACCCTAATCGCAAAGAACTTCTAAAATCGCGAGTTCATCTTCTCCTTCGCGAAGAACTCTTAAAACCTGACGTTGTCACGTAATTCACTTGAGTTTGTCACGTAATGAATAATTGGACAAGTCATTCAATATTGACTAAAATGGACATTACACCATTAGCATTTTTAACGCCGTCAGCAAAAAGGACTAAGTTGAACCATTTTTACAAAATATGGGACCACTATGAACAACTCAAAAATAGGAGAACCACTTTGAACACACCTAACAAAACTAGGGACCAAAATTGATATTATTAAAATTTATTTATTACTCTTTAGATATATATTTATTATAATTTGATTGGGATGAAATCTTCTAGATGAATATATTTTAATTTATTTTGTTGATGATTATACATTAGTATTCTTAATTAGTTTTGAATTGTAAAACTTGTTTAAAATCGGTCAAAAAATTCTACCTATTTATAATATTAGAATTAAATTATACATAATTTTTTTTATAAATTAAAATTAACGTATATAAAACTTTGTTTAAAAACTTAAATAAGGTAATATCTACAAATTAAATTATGTTATGAATTGAGAAATTTAAATTTTCTCTATTACGCAAGTGTTTAAAATTCAATAAATTAAAAACAAAAAGATTGCTTTTTATAATTTTTTTCTCAAAATTAAAGTTGTTATGCCAGATTTCTAGTTGGTTATGTTAATTATTATCTTAATTTAACAATTATTTGGTCTTGATAAAATCACAGAAAATAAATATATTCTAATTTATTATAAGTATATATTATAATTTTTAATTAGTTTTAAATGATAAAATTTGTTTTAAGGTACGTCAAGAATCTACTTATCACTACAATAATATTAAAAAGATTAAATACAATTTTTTTTATGAATTAAAATTAATTTGTAAATAAATTAAATTTTTAAAAACTTGAATAAGATAATCTCTACCAATTAAATTATGTTATGTATATTGAGAATTTTAGTTCATCTGTTTTATTACAGAATTGTGTTTGAGTTCTCAGATTATTTTGGCACCACTTTAAAAAATGTTCAATAAATTAAAGAGAAGGATTGCTTTTATAAATTATATTATTTTCAATTCTTTGAATATCTAAGACTATTTTATTGTACATGCTATACAATTTTAACATACTCTTTTAATATATTTTCTTATTATTCGTTAAAATTTATGAAAAATTAAATAAGTTTAGTTTCTTTTTTATAAACTCATTTACAATTTTGATGAATTTGAACTAATAAAAAAATATAACAAAACAAAGTTATCAATGAGTTTTAAAGAGAAAAAGTAAGTGTGGAAGAAAATATGGATTATTAATTTAATAAATGTTAATCAATATCAATATTATAAATTTTTTTAGGTGACTTATTGTCCTTTGGTTTCCCACTTTATTCCCACCAATAACACTTGACTTCTCCTCGAAGACTTCCATCCTTACTATTTCATGTTCTTTAGGCCAAACTCTGCCTTTTCTTTTTCTTCCTCTTCCTTTTTCTCTGCTCTCAAACCTCACAACACCAATAGTTTACTCCCACAACAGATGTCTTCTCTCTGGTTTCTTAAACTCATTGTCAGATGCCTTGATCATTGTGCATGGTATGCAATGCAAGTTTTTTCTTTGTTGCCATGAAAAACTTACTTACACTCTTATCTTCATATTACTTCTGCAATGTTGTACATGGTTTCTCTCTGTAAAGTAAAGTTCTTCTTTTTATTCCCTTGAACTCCATTTCAATGTTGTCTTATCTACTGTCTCTTTTGTTTTTTTTTTCTGGTCTCTTTTACAGGCCTCTTCTTGCTCTGGGGTACCCTTTGTAAGTTTCTAAAGGACCATTTATTTAATTGTAATTGTACTTCACTGGATGCATGGCGTGTTATCAAAGGTTGTGACTTTTGCTTTGGCCACTCATTTTGGTGTTTGGGATTATGGTTTTTTTTTTACAGATGTGCTTCTGTACAAGCAATTGAGACCGAATCCTATAAAGCAACTAAGGATTTGATATCATATTGGATACTCCTCTCGCTAATATACCTATTTGAGTATGCATTTTTTAGGCTTCTTCAATGGTAAGAGCATTTTTTCCCCCAATAAATAGAATAGAGTGTTTTTTTTTTCTGTGACTGGGATTGAATATCTGATTGGACTCTAAGATCAATGGGGGAGCATCAAACTCTGCACTTCGCATGTGTCACTGTCGTTTCTGATTTTAAATTTAGAGATAGGACATGGAAATCCTTCTAGGAGTCTTCGTGTTTTCTTTTTTTCTTTCTTCAGTGTGTTCTAAGGATATTTTCAAATTCACAGGTAAAAATTTATTACATTCAAGGCATAGTGATTACTAAACCTTGATTCAGCAAATAGAAAACGATTTGAGATCTAAGTTGGTCGATTCTCAAGTGTAATCTACTCAAACACAATTTCTCTTCATTGTCATTAGTCATAACATAACCAAGAAATCTGTAGTTGATATGGTTACAGAGAATATGCATGCTGTATGATTTGAGGTTTTTCCCGTCACAAAAATGAACTATACTCTATTTGTTGATAATCTAGCTTATTTTGTTCTGTACCACATGTCCACACCATTTTACAACACATGTAATTCATTCTGTCATAATGCTTGTTTTGAATGTCAAGAGTAGACGTGAAGTTTACTGTTCTTGTTTTCTAACAAATCCTGAATACCCTTTGGATTAAAAACAATTTCTTGTTCTGAAGTTGGTATTTTTATTATTCAGTCATCTAGTGTTTGTTTTCATTTTGGTTAAGCTTAATGCCGTACAGATATCTAGTTAATTTGTCTTTTAAATTTTGTTGAAACTTAGGAAATTATAATAGAAATAAAATTATGCATAATGTATATAGAATTTTTTCAACTTAATGTAATTATTATTATCAATTGAAGTTAGATTGTGGCAAATGGATTCTCTTTTCATATTATCTTTTTTAGTCAATTCATAAACTTGTTTAACTTTTCATTTCCCATGTTTAACATCAGGTACCAGTTCTGGCCTTACACTAAGCTAATGATCATCTTCTGGCTCATTGTGCCAGACTTTGGACGGGCTTCTTATGCCTACAATAATATTATTCGAACATGCATCTCAAATCCACAAGCAAGCATACGTAGTTTAAATAACTGGAGGAAGATTTTTGTCAAGAAAGATAAAGATAACTTTTTACTGCATGCAGATAGATATTTAGAAGAGAATGGAACAGAAGCCTTAATGAAACTCATTGCTAGCAAGGTAAACATCTATATTGTTGTAAGTTTGTGAATCCATGAAAAATGTCTTTCTATTGGCAATTGAAAAATTCTGCTGATTCTCCTTTTCTTCTATTGTAGAACACGACTAACAAACCTGATGCACAAGCAACAAATGCAAGTAGAGTTACTGACCATTAAGAGATGCAACAGGTGAAGTTTTTATGTTGCTGGTGCAGTTATGAAACTAATTTGATTCTTGTTACAAGCTCTTGTATGAGTCATTTCAACCCATCCAAGTCTTCTTGTGAGAGTTGTTAATGAAATAGCATCTTGCGCAGACAAATGTGAAAAATCTCCAAACAGAGCCCAAAGCCACCAAAGATTCGGAGGTGATTGAGAAAAAGGAAATTCCTACAGGCAATCAAGTAAGGTTTCATATTATATACTCACCCAAAATAGAAATATCTCATGGACAAGTTAAAATTTTGGCAATACATTTTAATAACGTGGATATGATATGATCATCTTCATAGTGATGTATTTTCCTCAGAAAGTATTGTCACAATCTTATATGTTATGCTAATCTTGAACATTGCAGAATATTCCTGTGGTGCCTAAACTTGTGCAAAGTGAGAATGCTTCAGCAACCATGTTGGAAACTAATGGAATAGTGGTGAAAGAGAAGGGTGCTGAAGAGCTTCCTCAGATTTTTACACATAAGGAAGTTCAGAAGGAGTGGACTTGCGCTTTATGCCATGTAACAACAACGAGCGAGAAAACCTTGAATTCACACCTGCAAGGTAGCAAACATAGGCAGATGGAGATTGCTATGAAGGCAAAGAATCAATATAAACAGAAGCTGAAAAGTGATCACTCCAAAGAGGAATTGAAACAGAAGAACATTGATCAGCCAAAATTCAAGACTAAGAATGGAGAGAAACCTACTTGGACGAATAATTCAGAAATAAGATGTGAAATCTGTAATGTGAAATGCCCTTGCGAGATTACCTTGGCCTCTCATAGAAAAGGGAAGAAGCATTTGGCTAAGTTAAAAGTTTAATCTGAAGTGTCTGAATAACGGGTAAACAAGTTTCTTTAGTTCAGGGGCAACAAACATTGATAGTCATAATGGTTGAACTGAGAGGAAGTCTAGAGACTGCATAATTAGTGTCTACTGTACATTATGGTTATTATTCCACCTAGTCGGAGACTTTGTTTAGAATTTTGTTTTGTCAACTTCAGAACATTCCACACATACTTTTAGCTGTTTTTCTTTAACATTTTATCTACTTAACAAGGTATGAACCTTTACACCAAACACCACCTTGTGGTAAAAAACATGAACTCATTTCATGTTTTTTTTTCATAGCAATATTGCAGCATATTTATGAGGGCTTTCAAAACCTGCTGCTTGATTGAGGTGTATGTCAAATATGACACTTTAGATTTAATACTACAAAAAGAACACTAGTAACACCTTTGAACAAATTTTTTATTACCTTCAATTTTCAATCATTTTTAGTTAAACATAAAGTACCTTTTAAAAAAAAGTTGTTATCAACATTTTTTTCTCACCTTAGGCCACGGTTTCTCAAATAAACTATCATATGAATATGTCTATGTAGAATTTTATCCTGTCAAATAAGAGCTGTAAAAAATGCCTGTATTTTAATAAAATAGTTTTTTTAACGATTGGTTCAAACTTGTAACCATTCTAGTTTTGTAAGTTATTCTTTAGTAATACCTTCACCTATAATTAAGAATCATTATTACAGTCATTTTCTTAGAATGAATTTTTCCATCATTACTAGAAATATATGAATATTTCCAAAGATGGAAATATAGGTTAAAAGTCACGGAAGAGACTATCTAAAACCAGAAAGGTATAAGGAATAGTCTCTTTATAGGAAATTATTATTATTATAACTTATTATTATTATAGTGTACTTATAGAAAATTATTATTATTATTATTATAATAGTATACTTATTAAGATAGTTTGTCAACAAAATCCATGTGAAGAATCCTATGACATTCCTCTATTTTGGATTTTTCTTCCATCTAAGTGTCATCATAATAAAGCTAACCAATACTCTAAATCTTCTTTGGGTTCCTCATCTTTGTCTTCCTCCAAGTACAGTGTTTGCAAAGCTATTCTTTGAGTGTTTTTCTCTAATAGGGTCAAATGGTTCCACAAGTGAACAGCAAACAACATTATCTCTAAATCAAGTTGAATAAGAGGGACAACCTTTGAATCCCTGACAAGATTTGGGTCAAATGAATGAAGATAACATTGATGATGTAGAAGAACCACACAAGTCAATGATTTCTATTGAGGTTATGTTATAGTAATATGGTGATGTTGGCTAAGTACAGTAAATAAAAGATTTATAAATTCAAATATATTCTAGTAATTTAACATTGTATGAAAATAAGAATTAAATAAATACATACATACCTATCATGATTTACAATTTAAAAAAGTGAAGTATTACAATTCTGGTAGCCATAAATACAAACTTGTTTCAAGTTTTTAATAGTCTGTTCAAGAGTGACAAAAACCAACGCTATGCTCCACCAATGGAGAAATTGAAATAGTATAATAAAAAGAGAGACATTGTGATCTTCTCGATAATATTTGCAGGTGCATGTGAAAATATGTGAAATTTTGCTGCTGCAAATTAGAAATACCAATACCTTTGCATGCTCAACTGTCTCATGTCAATTCGAACGTTTCTTATTTATTTTCTTTTAATATATTAATGTCTCGTTAATTAATGTCTATCTAAAACTGCCTGCTAATACAAAAGATGGGGTTTCGAAAAAAAATATATAAAAAATGAAATTAATTTTTGGATTGGATAGAAGAAAAAGAAAATAAGAGAGTTTTTTTAGATAAAATTTAACACTCGTGTGAAAGTTATTAATAATCCTAATTAAAAAAATGATGTACATTAAATGTGTATTTCATCCTCCAATTATTTTAATAAATTGTGTCTCTTTCGTAAGTTAAATATTTATTTATTTTCTAAATTATATATATTTATTTTTTCCTTATTTTATGGAAATAATGTAAAAATTACAATATAATATTCTGGTTAAGTTTTTTGAAAAGGTGTTTTAATAATTTTTATAAAATAATGACAAAAATTATTATAGAGTTTAATTTAAAAATGAAATACAATTTTTGAAAATAATTTGAAAACTTAAACATATTTAATCCTGATAATATTTTCATAAAGCATTTTAAAAATAAAAAATTGTTTTATCAGTAAAAGTGTTAATATTTATTATTTAAGTCATAATGTTTCTTTCTGTAAACTAATATGATTAATAAATGACACTTTTAGGACTTGTTTAAATATTTATAAACTTCCATAACTAATATAGCAGGTTACAATATTAAAACTAATATTTATTTTTATGTAAACCATTAAATGTCTATTGAATTAAATCCTTATGTATACAATATTTGTAGGCTTCAATCCCTCTTTTAGAACCTATAATTTATACACATTTTACAGTTTTGGTTAAAAAGATCGTTGAACCGGAATAACTTTTTCAATTTTTAAATTATGGAATGTTATTTCTTCTATTTATTATTCAATTAAGTTCCTTCATTAACACCATTTCATGTGAATAAGTAGATAATATATAGCAGTATTAATTGATTCAGTTCCACACAAACATTCATCTAATGAAAATATGCAGATGAAAAGAGACACAAAGATCAGAAATGAGAAAGGACAAAACATATCAGTGCCATTTTATTGAAGGGAGCAAATGTTTCAGAAACATTATATTTCACACTCTGGCTAATCAAAATTATTTTTGAGAGGTTGGCATTGCCATGTTAATCTTGCTACCATCAGTTGAATCCTTCCATTGCTGTGTTATTGTCTTGATCTGAGTATAAAAGTTAACCCCTGCCTTGCCTGTAATTCAATAAAGATGGCAAATTCAAAACAAACACTATTTGTCTAAGAAAATGCTCCAAAACAATGTACTTAATATAAATAACTGTGAGAAATCATTATTGTTATACCATAGAAGTTGAGATCACCGGCAAAAGATGCCTTGTTGCCAGTGAATGAGAAGAAGGGCAATGGAACTGGAATGGGAACATTGATGCCAACCTAGTTCAGATGCAGTAACAAGTCATTATCAATGAATAACACTGTCAAAATATATTCATTTATTTATTATATAACCAACAAATACTCAACTTGGAAACTAGAGCAAGATCTTACAAATATATTTTGTAGATGGAGAAAACATGATTGATACTAAGCTTAATATGAGTAATATGAAATTAAGCTTAACGAGTAAGGGTATTAGAAAGAAAGAATTGTAGAATTTGTTATTTGTTCATACTTCTTATTTATTAATTCAGAGTTAAACATCTCACTTAGGTAACATTACCTGGCCTGCCTCTATCTCAGTCTGAAATTTCCTTGCAGCAACACCAGATGTGGTGAATATTGAAGCACCATTTCCGTACTTGTTACTATTAACAATGCTTATGGCCTCTTCTAAGCTATCAGCCTGATGAAGTTCAGAGACAAAAAAAAACAATTTATCAGCATATGTGTCTATTGAGTCAATGAAAAATTCAATATAATTGAGTCTCAGACATGGAAATGTTTTCTAGTTAGAAATAATTTAACACTGGTTAATCACTTGCCATTGTTTGAACATCGTTAACCATCTGAAGGGGTTAATTGTTCCTATATGGGAAACTTTTACCAAAAATTATACTTTTGTGATTCTTTTAATTGAAAATAATGAAATTCTAAGGATGAAATAAACACACACCTCCATGAAAAGAAGAACTGGGCCAAAAATTTCCTCCTGCATGTGCAATGTCAAAGACAGTCAAGTACAATAAGCATCAAAACTTCAAGTTAAAGAGAATTCTTTTAGAATACACTTAAAAATTATTCAGTAACCTTGTAGCACTCCATGTTGGTAGTGATATCTGATAAGATGGTTGGGCCAATAAAATTGCCAGATTCATATCCTGGAACCTACTTGTCATGCATGCATGAATTCATTACTACAAGACAGAGTGCTTGCTATATTACATTCAATCAGAATGTTTTAAGAGGAGGATATAAAAGCTACCACAATATTTCTTCCATCCAGCAGTAATTTGGCACCACTTTCAACACCAGATTTAACTAGTCTGTGTATTCTCTCCTTTGCCTGTGCAGCCAATAAAAATATTCAAGAAAAATACATATAAATAGCTAAAATATGCTTAACAACTGGCCATGGCAGTAATGCCTGAATGATACACAAGATCTTTGCTTCAAATCCAATATGGAAAAAGTAAATTTCCAATCATAAACAAACCTGCTTGCTGATCACTGGACCAAGGTCTGTATCAGGTTCAGTTCCCGCATTTACCTTGAGAGCTTTGGCACGCTCTACAAGTTTAGCTTTCCTGCACAAATATTGCAAAGGTTGCAATTCTTAAAAATTGCCGAGTACAACATTGAAATAAATTTTTAAAAGACAAAAAATATTGAAGTAAACTTCCCTTTACATATGCTTCACAAGGAAATTCACTAACTCAGAATAATATTTCCTTAGAACAATGTTCTCAGAATTATTAAAAATGATGAATATAATTAATTGGTCATACTAACATTGGCATTACAATAACCATATAAACAAACTCTGATATGGTCATTGCACAGAATTTTCTCTATAGAGAAGTTACCCTGTATCTTTGTAGTGGAAGAATGATGATTCCACTTGGCACATGATAAAATACATTGAGAATTCCAGATCATTTTTAACAACCAAATAGAGGAACTTAAACTTGCTCCAAGTGTAATATGCTACTATAAAAGTCGCAATAAATGCAAATTAACTCAAAATAGAATAGATGATACCATGATTTTGCGTCTCCAACAAAAACAACTGTGCTGAGAGCCATACACCTTTGACCAGCAGCACCAAAACCAGCTGCAACTAAAGCATTTAGAGTAGCATCAACATTTGCATCTGGCAAGACAATGGCATGATTTTTTGCTCCCATGTTAGACTGCAAAC